CTGATCAGCCAATGGTTCTATCCTCCCAGAACCTACGACGATCGGCGTCTGCGCAACCCCATGCGCCATCTGCCCGGCTACGTGGTGGTCCACTTGGATTCGGTGGTAGCCGGGCTGAACTTTCCCCTGCATGGCTTCCACTTGGAACTTTTCAGGGCCCTCGAGATAGTACCCCCACCGTCGCTGGCTTCATCATTAGATGCCACAGCGTCGGTGTGACCCCCACCGTGGACCTGCTGCACCATTTCTTCCGGCTGTCCCCATTCGGACGTACAGGGTATTTGACCCTGATAGCCCGTCCGTCCATGGTTCTCTTCTCGAACAATGCCGGGAATCCGGACGGATGGGAAGAGCGTTTCTTCCTAGCCGGGGTAGGCTCACCGATGCCATTCTCCGACCGGTGGAATGCTTACCCGGTGAAGACGATCCCGCCGCCCATGACGGACGAGGAGCTCGGGTATGCCAAGCGCATAGCCGGACTTGGCATCCAGAATCTCCGATCGCTGGTGGCCGAGCCCTTTAAAGCTCAGGCTGGGTTAGGTGCGTCCGTTTGTACTTGTATTGTTTTGACATCTCTTCGCTGTTATGGCTCTGAACGTCTTGGTTCCTTTTGTGCAGGAGTTTTCCCATCCACGTCCGTCATGAGCCGGATCAATACCGCTTCATCTGCCGCCGGTCGTGATCACAAGGGGCGCGACAATCCCGGAAAGCCGCTCGTCCCCAAGGTTGAGCCCCGGGTGACCAGGGCACGGGCCGATGAAACTTCGGGGGCCGGCGCCCCCAAGAGGCCGCGTGTGGAGGGCACTTCCTCCAAGGCCATCATCTTGGCCGATGATTCTGATGGGGAGCCCGGAAGCCCCCTTAAGCGGAAACCCACTTCCCGGGCCCATCTCCGTGCTTCTCCTCCGCGGAATTCCGACGTCCGTCGTCTCCGGGACGATGATGCCCAAGCTGCCAAGGGTTCTGACGACGCTCGTCCAAACTCTCCCCCAGGAGCCAGTGAGTCTTCTCTTGGCCTGATCGAGTTCTCTGGGGTTGGGCCCCGCAAGGAGTCAATGATGCTCTTTGGTCAAACGGCGTCCTCTATATGGTGCGGCCTGAATCTCAAGGTTCCGCAGGACTTCGCTGCTCAGGAGGCTCCTGAAGATCTGTTGGATTGCGGCCAGAGCACGCTGGACAAGGCTGGGCTCTACTTCCATAGGGCTCGGATGGCTTTCGAGCGCCAGGGCAGGGAGATGGCCAGAGTACGGGCCGAATGTGATGCCCTTCTGAGGAGTGCAAAAGGCAGGGCTGGCACCCTTCAAGAGAAGGCCGAGGCCTATGACAAGCTCGTTCAGGAGAATGCCTCTCAGAAGGAGCTTCTCAAGAAGCAGGAGGCCGAGCTCGTGGATCTCCGCAGCCGGATGTGGGCCGTAGAGCAGGCCAAGGTGGAGCTTCGCCAGACGGGCATGGACAACCATGTCCCTATTTATGAGGCCGATGTTGCCAAAATCAAGGAGTCTGGTTCCATTGCCTTCCAGAGGTCCAAAGCTTACACTGGTGCCATCCACACCATGGCCATGAAATTCCTCCCGAGGCTCGTCGGAGAATTTCTGGCCACCTGCCCGGACGCCTACCTGGACGGGGTCAAATTGCTCCAGGCCACCCCCACCGGACGGCGTTTCCTTAATGACCTTGCCGATGATACTTATCGCAAGGGTATGGTCGGGCTCGTAGCGGAGAATCTCCCCACGTTCGAGCGTCATTTCGGGGCTCCTTTCGATCCGGAGGCGGCTGGCTTCGACATCCTGATGGCTGATGCCCATGCGGGAGCCCTTGAGCTGCTGAGAGAGCAGGCGGAAGCCAAAGCTAGTGAAGAATGCAAGCAGGCTCTTTCCAAAGTTCCAGCTCCGGACGTTGATCAAAAGTGATTTCCCGTTCATGACCGAAAGTCCTGGCACAACTTTTCCATTATTTTCACTATCTTGTGATTTCCCGGCCGATAGTGCCGAAGAATAAAAATCATTCTTTGCTCCATGCTCGTCTGGCTCTTTTTTTTTTTTTTTTTTTTTTTTTTTTTTTTTTCGGAGTCTTTTAGTCTTCGTTCGTCCTTGGTCCCTGGTCCCACCGGCGTCCCCACTTCGAGGAGACGTTCGGTGTCCGCCGACATCACAAGGAGGAACAGGTTTATCTACATCGAGATTCCCCCCTTTTTTCGTTCGTCCGTGGTCCTTTAGCCTTACCGACGTCTCTTGCTTCGACGAGGACGCTAGGTACCCAAAGAACTCGCAGGGACGAACAGGTCTACCCTCATGGGTCCCCGACTTTGTTATCCCACGTCCATCGATCCATGGTCATTTGTGGGATAAACAGGTTTATCTTGGCAGGCTCCCTTGGTTCGTCTAGCCCCCTCCGCGTCTCTACTAACCTCTACATCGAGAGGCGTTCGTCTTCGGCGGTTGGAGAAGATCTGGCACACCCGGACAAGATTCCCTTCTTCATAGGAGCTACCCTCCTCTTCTCCCCATATTTTTTTTTTTTTTTTTTTTTTTTTTTTTTTTTTTTTTTTTTGAGGGAGGCAATCATAGTCTTCGTTCGTCATTGGTCCTACCGACGTTCTTACATCGAAGAGACGTTCGGTATCCGCGGACATCACAATGAGGAACAGGTATATCTGCATCGAGATTCCCTTCTGCTTCGTTCGTCCTTGGTCCGTGGTCCTACCGGCGTCCCTACTTCGAGGAGACGTTCGGTATCCGTAGACATCTCAAGGAAGAACAGGTTTATCTGCATCGAGATTCCCTTCTTGTACGGTTGTTGGCGAGAACAGAAGTGATGAAAAACAGGGGGCCTTATTATTGACGACGTCCGGTCATTTTACATTCAGTGGGAACAATACAAGGACAACGGCCTCTAACTATTGATAGAACTTCTTCAGGTGTTCTACGTTCCACACCCCGGCATGGTTCCCCTCCAGGGTACGGAGGAGGAACGTCCCCTGGTTGTATCTTCTGATGACCCGGTAAGGTCCTTCCCAGTTCTTCGCCATTTTGCCACCTTCGAGCGGCTTGCTCTTCTCTCTTTTCCTGAGTACGAGGTCCCCGGCCTCTATTTCGCGGAATTTCACGGCCTTGTTGAAGTATCTCTGGGTGGCCCTGTGATACTCTTCCATGCGACGAGCCGCTAGGTCCCTCCGTTCCTCAATGAAATGGAGCTCTGCTCGTAGGTTGGTCTCGTTGTCTCCCGGCTGGAAGTGCTTGGTGCGATGTGTAGATTTGGTAGCTGTTTGGGAGAGTTTCTGGAAACTTTTTGCTCAGTTCCCACAGACGGCGCCAGTGTTGAGGTTTATTCCTTCAACCCTTGGACCCAACACGTAAGCCCAAAGATTTCGAGTGGAGTGAGTGTGTGGTTATCTAGCCCGACAACTATCAGATGAATCAGGAAACAAGAGTAATAGCAGGCAATGTAAATAGGTATTATTAACTTCGTAATAACTCCCCTAAGTACAATCTACTTGCTAAAAAGGGCACGTCGGCCGTTCGTCTTACAAGGCGATAGGAATGCTACTCGTAAGAATGCTGGAGCTAGTATGCTAAGAATAGAAAGTTGCCAACCCTTTACAATGAAATAAATGCTTCTATTTATACCCGCCAATGGGCAGGTGGCTGTACTGACGTGGCAGCCTGTGGACCGCTGGTGTCCCAACTACCAAATCTTTAGCATTAAATGCACTTCCCGCCAGAATCTAGGTTTCCCGCCGGATCAGTGGGGACGTTCGTCCACCCCGGAAGTGAGTTGGATTGCTCCAAGTGACCCTTGAGGGATATCGGCTGTTCGTCGCCTGGCCTTAATAGATACTCACCATGTGCTCCGGGTTTTCCCCGATGACCACAGGCTTGCTCCGGGGACGTTCGTCGCCATCCCCGCTGGCTCGTGGTTCTGCTCTTTGTCTCTGCACAGACGTTCGTCGGAATGAGCTGCTGGGCCTGAGTCCTCCAACACCAGACGTTCGTCCATCCTCAAGAGACATGGGCCTGTGGGCTGGCCTGGTTTCTAGCTGGACGTTCGTCTGGCAAAATGGGTTAGTGGGCCGGACCTCGGCTTGGGCCCTTAACCCAACATGTCCAAAAAAGGAAAGTGGGAAGAAATTTACGTTACGGAGGTAGTAGTTTTTAGCTTCTTTATAGTTGTTGTGATGGCAGTGAACAAAAACAAATTATGTTAGAAGCTAAAAAAGAGCAGATGTTGAAGAAACAAACAAGGAAGTCAAGGCCGACAACAACATGAACGACAGAAAGACATAATAAATCACATAAGTTTTAGCCCCAAAAGAAATTGCCGGGCATTATTAAGGTTTTATACTTGTCATGTGCATTAGACAGATTAGAGATCAATGTCAAATGACTCAAATGCTTACGATAAACCTCCAGTTGTCTTTATTACTGTTTGTGACCGATGATATATAATCACAAAGAAGTCGTTTGGCAACACTGTTTTTTGACTCATCAAGCTTATCAGTCAGTTTTTTCACAAAACACGTAACTTTTATTTTCGCACGCTGAATTGTGTAATAAGCAGAAAAAGTAAGGTTGGAGTTACTTTTCTGGCTGTATTGGCTGAAGTTACTGTAGATGATCAATGTTAGCTATTTTTACATACTCCCTCTGTCCCTTGTTATTTAGCCAAACACCTTTTTTCAAGTCAAAGTTGTTCAACTTTGACCGATTATATATTTATACACGATAATATTGATAAAATAAAAATTATATGAAAATGTTCTTTGTTGAAAATACTATCACAAAAGTATAAATTTATTATGTTTTACATCAATATGTTAATTAAAATAATTGATCAAAGTTAATCACCTTTGACTGGAAAAGTCAAAGATGGCTAAATAAAAAGGGACGGAGGTAGTATAATTTTTTCTTTATTGTATTAATAAAATATATTTTAATTTTTTTTTCTTAAATCAACAGAATCAGCCAATGCAGTCACTTCAGCCAGAAATTCATAAATTTCAACAGAATCAGCCAAAACAGCTGATTTTCGTGCTACCAAACATGCTCATAGATTAAAATGAATGTTATATTTCAATGCACTCATAAACATGTCTGTTATACAAGCTTTCATTGTCAAATGTCAACTACAAACACTGAAAATGTAACTGAATACCAGGCTGTGTACTTATTTCTATAAACGATAAAAAACGAAGAAAGAGAACCTACAAAAACGTTTTCAAGAATTTACATTTTACATATGAACTTGATATTATTATGTGGCAGGGATTGATTAAGGCATACTGGCATAGCTTCGAAAACTTTGAAAACAAATCTAGTCAATCTCCATCACTACTTTGCCCGGAATTTTCCCTTTACCCTTGGCATGATGGGCATCTTGAACATGAGCAATAGGAAAAGTCTTCTCAACTGGTACTTTGAGCTTCCCAGCTTCAGATAGCCTCCGGATCTCATCCAAACCCTCAGCATCAGCCCTCATGTAAGTCCACCAATATTCTGCCCATGTCAAAATAAAGCATCTAAGAGTAGAAATATAAAAGCAGTTTTTCCTCATGCTGTCATTTCTCAATGTCCAGATAATACCACAGGCCACAGCAGCTTAATGCACTTAGATGGTCAGGCAATATCAAAAGATTGTTATGTACCTATTCCGTGAGAATATCGATATTGGATCTGTTTCTTGAGCAATATAGCAGTTGCCATGGGAAGGCCAATAGTTAGTCCGTACCTATCAGTTAATGACGCAGCTTCTCCCTAAATATAGGAAGATTTACAAATCAAGCGACATGAATTTTGTTAAACTTAGCAGCAGGGAGGGGAAAGGATCAAACAGTATGTTACCTGCAATGTCATATAGTGCCCGCCTCTCTTCAAAACATTGATGCCAATCCTTTCAGTCTCCGGAACACCAATAGTATCCAATACTGCATCAAAGTGCCCCTTTAGAGCTACTTCAACATCCTAGAATGAACCAACGAGAAAAAGAAAATTATAGGAGAGAACTTCAAACCAAAACCAGGAGGTAGCATTTTTCTCATCATCACAAAATGAGGTGGCAGGAGAACCATGTACATAACAAACACATCCATGTACCTCAGTGGTGTAATCAACTGCCTGTTCAGCGCCAGTAGCCATAATGCGATCTATACTCTCACCTCCACAAGTTGTAGATACATAACACCCTGCAGCAACTGACAGTTGAATGGCAGAAAACCCCACAGCTCCTCCTCCACCAATCACCAAGATCCGCTGCCTTAAAATGTTTGCACAGAAAACCGATTAAGTCAATATAATGAATGCATGATTCGTTGCTATTCCCAATCAACATTAATTACAAACAGGGACGACATTAAATAATGCATACTATGATATTTACCATGAATACAGAGAAAAATATGATGATGAAGGTTTTGGAATTTTTCATCACATCATTATAATAATGAAGGTTGTGATAGGGATGTCAAAAAAACCCGACCCGCAATGACCCGCCCTGGCCCGAGACATTTGGGGCGGGTCCGCCCCGCCCCGTCTTGCAAATGGGGCGAGTCCGCCCCGCCCCGCCTATACAATGGGGCTGGTCCGGGTATTAGAATTGACCCGTGCTGCCCCGACCCAACCCGCTCAATATATAAGTATACATATTTTTTCTTAAATTATACTACAAATATACTTCAACATACATATGTGTGTATACAATAAATCATAAATTCTTTGATCTTATAATATATGAATATATATTAGAATGAGATGCACGAGGATTATCAATGTCTTCTTTATATATAGAACTTTAATACATATATTCAATTATTAATATAACTAATTAGATTAACTATTCAAGTTTGAGTAATTTTTCCTTAATTTTTGAAATTGTTAGCGTATCATGAATTTGATTTAATATATTGATTTTTAATTATTATTTAGAGATAAACATTATGTAGATTCAATTGGTAACAACTTGCACAAATAAAAATACATACTAGCGAATTAGGTTGCGGTGGGGCGGACCCGCCCCGCCCCGCATGGGGCGGGTTATGGGTCAACAAGTTTGGACCCGTGCAGGTCACGGGGCGGGTCCGGGTCTTGCAATACCCGCCTCGCCCCGACCCATTGCCATGCCTAGGTTGTGACATACTAAATTTGTTTTTCAAAGTTTTCAAAGCTATGCCTTAACTGATCCCTACCGCACAAGTAACATCAAGTTCCATATGTACAAATGTATATTCTTGAAAACATTTTTTGTAGGTTCTCTTCTTCGTTTTATATTGTTTATAGAAATAAGGATACAGAAGGGGAGTCTTTGCGCACCGGTTACTGAGAGGTCACGGGTTTAAGGATGTTTTCTTTTGGACTAAAATTTGCTGGTCTGGTCTGATCTGGTAAACGTCTGGTCTCTGTGTATTTTATAACTACGGAAGTCTGGTCTGATCTGGTCTGTGACTGAAAACAGTCCAAAAGAAAACATCATAAGTCTTCGGAGCAGTCTCTTGTCAAAATGACAAAGAAAGGCTTACTCCTTATACACCCTTGTGGTGGGACCTTTCCCCGACACGAGATTTGAAGAAATCTTATTTTCGACATGCCATGAACATCAAGTAGATTTCGACATGCCATGAACATCAAGTGAGTACCTTCAAATTTATGAAGATACATCTATCCCAAACTGTCTTTGATATCTTTTTTTGCAGGGTCCTTTTATTATTGCTCATGGACAACCAAAGCTTCAAACACCATATACTTGTATATTGGAATTATTCATCTCATTGTCAAACCAATGAGAACGTGATTGTCAAAGTATCCAAAAGACCAAAACAATTTCAATTTGAGTAAACCAATGAAAGTAATTACAATATAGTAGTGCCGTCCTCTAAAAAACGAAGTGCGGATAATTGTTTTATAGATTGAAAGCAGTTAAATAAATGACTTGGAAACTACGTGATGGTTAAATAATGCCCGACGGTTACCAAAGCTAGAAAACGGGAAGCACCTATTAATGAGCACATGATGAGTTGCATCGGCTGGAAGTTATTGAACAATCGTAACTTTTAGGCAGTAACTTATTGTCTTGGTTTCCCTTTTTATATTAGTATAGATAAGAACACACAGTCGGGGATTCAGTCCCATTTTCAGTGTTTGTAGTTGACAATGAACTCTTGTATGACAGACATGTTTCTGAGTGCATTGAAATATAACCTTTTTTTATCTATCTGGTTCTATATTATCGATCATGACAGTAATAAAGACACTTGGAGATTTATCATAAGCATTTGATGATGAAAGTTTAAGAATTTTCATCACATCATTATAATTATGTTTGTGACATGAAGGGGCATTCACTGTAAAAATTGCTGCTATGATCTTTGCATTAATTTATAGGTTTAATTATTTTTATACAAATAATTGGAGATGTAAATGTAATACCGGCTCCAATGGTTGGGGATTACGGTGCTGAAAATGATGAATGATGATGCCATTAATGCCACAATACTAAAAGAACTGCTTATGAAATTTGCTTTACATTACCCAAAAATATGCACATTATGTACAATTCATAGGGATATCATTTTCTAAAATTGTTACAGGTTAAGAGAATTAATGCATTAAATGGAAAAACATACCCCTCCCTAATCCTTGCAGTACTTTTTAAAGCACGCCAAGCAGTAAGAGCAGCAAATGGAATAGCACTGGCTTCCTGTAGAGAGTCAAAGAATAATATTACAACGGAATAATGCAGATTGAAGAAAAACAAAACAACAGTAACAGGGATCTCATGGAGACAATACATTGAAAAAACACACATCATTTGCTAGGTACAGATGGATATGGCCTCTAAACTACATATTGGGCTATTGCCGACTATGACTACTTCAAAGTTTAAACTAAGTTGAGCGAGGCACAATGCAGTAACTAACAGGCATGTGTATGGAATTTATGGATTCATATCGTACAATTATAGCATATTACCAGAAAACTAAATTTACGTTGTGTACTACTAATCCATTTGTAAAACACACGGATGGGAGTGGAAGGAGGGATAGTGAAACATGTAATGAAAAACAAAAGAGGGAGAGAGAGATATGGTCAAAGTTCAAAAAGGTTATGTTAATGCATGCATGAGAGGGTAGTTCTCCCAAGTATCATATATCCACTCTCTCACACTGAAGACATACCACATGTGAAAGTGAAGCTGGTTTAGGAGCAAGTTCTTCTTCATCGAGGATAGCATAGTCGGTGTAAGTACCCCTCACAGCAGTTGGATGCAGTGCACCAAAAACCTCTTGCCCAACAAAGAGAGATCGTACAGCATTTCCAACAGCTGCAACTTCACCACTGACATCACGCCCCAAAATCAATGGCAGAAGTGGTTCAAAAATTGAACGGCCATAACCAGATCGCATCTGGAAAAAAGCTCTGTTGAAAAACACTTGAAATCTAAAAAGTAAATGTCCGAATAACAATATTTAGTTGATATAAAACTTTAACAAGAGTGGAATACTGATTCAGGAATTAGGATGGTTACCGAGAGTCAGAAATGCTACTACATACAGGGCGCTTAGAGAGATACATATTGAGAAACAGGTGATTAGTAAATGCATGGAATACAATTTCATTTGCATAGCATCTATATGGGAAAGTTTAAATGTCTTTTAAAGAATCGGAATCTTAAATCTGGAATTGAAAATTTCCATCAATTATTTTGAAAGTCACATTTGCATCTCTGTCGAACACAATAAGGAACCTAAAATAATGCAAACGTAAGTAAACTCACCAAGACGCCAACAATATGTTTATAAAATTGTTCCCGTCTTCAGAACTTAGGATTTAGGAAAACACCTTACTTCCATAGGAACACGGAAGTGACTAATAACAACGCTAAAACCCAGGATAATGCATCAACCCGATTAATGCATCAACCCCATTAATGCATCCCACTTATAATCGAGAAACAATTCAGTAACCAAAGAAACTGTTTTGAAGTAACTAAGCTTAATTAAAACAGGAGGGTGGGAAGAGAGTGGGAAATTGAACCGACCCTTGTGTCCAGCGGGTTGATAGATACAGCACGACTGCGAACGAGTACTTGGTGGGGCTTGAGATCAGGGACGCTGACATTATCACGAAGCTCGAGCACGTGGGGACCGCCGAATTGCGGCAGGAGCACCGCCCTGCAGCTCGTCGCCATACCTCTCCTAAACCCTAACATAATCGGCGATCCACCATTCTCGTTTCCAGCTATCAACGCGCTCCTCCGCAGTAAAAACCGCATCGTAAGTATGACCGATAGTCAGAGCGTTCAATCAACCAAACTTTCTCGATGATCTATCATCAACAAATATGCCAGGAATTTGATAGAACTGAACTCATTACTTCATTCGCTGATCAATTCAAGATGTGCATATACAAGTGCGTTCTCTGATGTGAGTGTCGCCCAAGCGAGGAGGACGTGTCAGTGAAATGATCCACAAAGTTATCCGCACAACAGTATTAGCCTATTCGAGCCTTCTGGGCTTTCTGGCATTTATTATACTTCGTATGTTGAGAGGGATTTATCATACACGTAGTATTTATAAAGAATAATAAATTCCATTTTTAGTCATATGAGTTTAGGATCATTTTCCCATTTAGGGGGTGTTTGGATCTGATTCTCAAAACTGATTCTGCTCCTTCAGGGAGCAGAAGGAGAAGCTGGAGTGTTTGGGTGAAATTCTAGAAGCACTTCTGGTGCTCTAATTTACTCCCAGAAACACTTTTTTAGAAACTGGTAGGTACCAGCTTCTGAAAACTGATTCTGATTCAAAAAAACAAAATGAAAACTTTAGAATGGGAAGAAGGGAGGGAGTATGTTACTCCATTCCTCCCAAGTATTCACTTTTTTTACACTTTTTCGGCATTTCAAAATCAACAATGCTTGAATCCCTTTTAAGGGAGCTCATTAGTTAAGAACTTCAAAGTTAAGTGTGCTTGCACGGGAGTAGTCTTGGGATGGGTGACCACCCCCTAGGAAGTTTCTCAGGGCGCGCACGAGTGAGGACAAAGTGCGCGGAAAAGGCTAGTGGCGGTTTTGTGAGGACAATACTAGAGGTCTGGAGTAACTACCTCGGGGCCTGCGGGGCCGGGGTGTTACAGTGTATTACATCCGTCCCACTATGTGTGAGACAATTCGGTTTACGATGTTTAATCGACGATAAAGCAAACAGATCCCTGTCTGCACTCAAATTATTTTTAGTAAAAAAAGTTACATAATCAGAAACTACATTAAAAACTTTACAGTCGCAAAAAACAGAATCAAATTTGGTAAAAAATTGATATATAAAGTAAGAGATTAAGAGATATTTGTGTTGACCAAGTGAATAATGTCTGGGACAATTTTAGCGGGACGGAGGGAGTATATGATATGGATTATGGAGCATATAAGAAGTGTTATTTTTCCAATAATATGATTACTTTGTTAATGGTAAGGGAATTACCGTGTGCAAATAACTATTCAATAATTATTCCAAGAGTCATGGGCATTACCTATTGGTCTCAGTTAATATAAGAGAAGCAGTTTAGAGGGGTGAAAAAATTGTTCTTGATTTCTCGTTTCTTTGTGAGACAGAGTTTGTCTATCGCAAAGAACTTGCACTGTTTCTACGTCAGAATAGGCCTGCAGTGGAATAGTAGTTCTGGTTGGGCAACCTATAGAACACATTAAGGCAGAATGACTTTCTGTTGCTCTCAGATAGCAAGATTTGTTGAACACAAAGTCCAAGATCTTTATAGTAGAACAGTTGGAATCCTAAGTGCATTAAGTAAAAGCAGTAAGTAAATGACACAGAAGATCTTTATAGTGGTTCGAGGAACAACGTCTTCCTCTAGTCCACTGTTCCACTAAGATGCTAGTAAATCGGTTACAACACTTAGATCCCTATCATTTATGAAGCTCTTCACATCTTCTTCAAGAGCAGTGTCCTTGTCACTCATGATGCAACCCTTTCTTCCTGGTGACTTGCCTTTCACCGAGCTTGCTTGAAGTATCTCCACTTCATCTCAGTTACTTTCGCGTCCTTCTTTTGGAAGAAGAAAACTTTTGAGGAGTTCAAAAAGTTTTTCCTCCAACGTGCTCCGTACAAGATGTGTTGTTGTAGCTTTTGGAGTAGTTGAAGAGATGGATTAAGGATCTGAAAATATATTTCTTTCCAATCTCTCGTTTGAATTCTTTTGTTGAATGTAGTGTTTAGCTCTCAAGAATTTGTACGCTTAAATTTAAAAGTTCATAGTTGTCCCGTTCTTCTAAGTTTATCTTTATATAATGAGAGTGGTTTTTCCGTTGGAGTGTAGAAGAAAACTTCATTAAATGCATGTCGTATAGACTTGATCGGTCAGTTTCACCCGTCAACTTGCTATTTTGGGAGTATTAAATAACACGGAGTATTATTCTGGATACTGCGGACAATCATGCGTCATAAATATCTCAACGGATGGATAACATAAAATGAGCATTTAATGCAGCTTCGTACATCTTCCGTTAAGAGGCTCCTTGTCGTTAAGGTGTCTCCCGTTAGTATAACGGAGACTTCAAAGACTTGAATGATTCTTTGCGTGTGAGCTCTTTTGGTGCACTTCTGTTGAGGCCGTTCTGCTCAAGGCCAAGAGTGTTTCTAAGATGGAGCAGAAGTACGTTGTTCTGACAGTTGACGAACTAAAACTTACAACAGAAATTTTAAGTACAATTATCTACAAGGGTACTTTAAAATTTAAATTCCTAATTTGTGCAGCAGTACTTTAAAGACAGACTAGAGAGGACATGTACAAGTATTCAAAGTATACAATAGACGCACCATCACTATTTTCACAAGTAGTAGTCAGATCCGTCTCCAGGAATTTTGATGCCCCAGACAAAAATTAATAACATAATTAGAAAATTATAACACCATTTTTTACTAAATGTAAAAAAATACTTGACTTAAAATTGATATAAAGTACTACCTAATAACCTATTCTTCTTGCTTTTTATGTGCAAAATTTGTAAGTACATCACCACAATCAAGAGTATATAACACTTTTTTTCTATGGATAGCACAACGAGCCCGGTTAACCTTTCTTGTGACATTTTTTTCTTTTTCCCGTCGTAGTAGTCACTGCAAAATAATAATTTAGTAGTAATTATTAGATATATTATAAGTTAGTAAATATCAAAATGGAAATATTGTTTACAAAGAACAATTTGAGACTGAATTTGATATTGATAACCGAATAAGTGTAACAAAATCAAAGTTTGAAATATATTAAAATCAAATTATATTGAGCGTCTGTATTTTAGTCTTTACCTGATTTACAGACAGGCCGAATGGGTAGTGCGTAGTGGCTAGTCAGGCGTCAGCTATCGTCGTCCATCGAGTCGGTCAAGATTCTTTGACTTGCAGCCCTACGTACTCGGTAAAGGATACTACCCCCGTCCCGAATTGAACTTTAAAAAGATTTTAATGTGGTTTATGAATATGTACATTTTAATAATTAAAAAATGAATTAATTAACGATAAGGAGAGTTGACTTTTATTATTGATTAATTAAAAATGTTGACTTTGCAAAACAATTTGGGATGAAGTGGACTAAATTTTAATTAACCTAGTACACATTAGGCAAACTAGGGTGAAAGACTAAAAGAGTACTATTCCTAATTGTTATTGGGCCATCCGGCAGGCTCAATATATTACTCCCTATTATTACTGATTTGATTTTTATAAACTTTGACAGTTTGACTATTCTACGGAGTAATTCCCATTTCCCAACTCCACGGCTGGCCGCCTGGCCGCTAATCATATTGCCCGTTTTACTACGGAGTATATTCGTATATTAATATATATATATATATATATATATATAATAATAGCTTTTAATTAAAAATTGGTGCCCCTCTTGGGGGTGGTGCCCTAGGCCACTGCCTAGGTGCCTACCCCCCATGGACGGCTCTGGTAGTAGTATTATTGTAAGGATGACGATGGGGATGGGTGCTTGTGGGGGCTGCCCCATGGAGGAAAAATGGGGCGGGAGTTTAAGTGGGGCGAGTGCGGGGATGGGAGAATTATATGTACGTCCCCGCTAAAAATGGGGCGGGTGATGGGTTATGCACCCACCATCCGTCCCCCGCATAATAATAATTATATTAGTAATTGTTCTAAATGGGACTAAAACATGGTTAAAACTCCAAACTAGGTCTTGAAGTTTTAAATTGTCTAAATGAGACTCCAGATTACATTTTTACCCTTAATCCCTAAATCACCTTTTTTCTCAATCCCTCTACATCGATCTTGAGACTTGTGATTACAACTTCCCCTTGCGACTGAGCTGCCATGGACCGAACTCAACCGCTATCGATCGCAACTCGACATGCTATCATCATAGCTGCCTGCTCGTCGACGGCCGCCACCTCTTCAACGATTTCTCCAGCAAAATCAGGTATTCTTCTTCCTCTTCTTTTTCTTCTTCTCCTCCTTCTCTTTCTTATTCTTCTTCTTCTTCCTCCCCTATGTTTTCTTCTCTGTTTTGTGCTTCTTTTGAATTTCAGATTATTTTATTCATTTTAATTCAAAAATGCAGAAGATGTCATTTTTAAAAAATTGACATGTTTATTTTTTATATGACATTTAAGGATAGCTTGAAAAGACACATTTTTCCATATGCAAATAACATGTTTTAAGAATGTCACTTAATATGCATAATGACATAATAATGACAATTTCGAATAGAAACATGACATTCTCAATATGACATTTCCAAATATTGTAATGGCATAAAAGTGACAATTTTTAAAAATACCCAATATTTATGACATTCTCTTATTCAAAAGTGACATTTTCTGGAATCATTAGTCAGGGCATTTTGAGATTCAAAGTAATCAAAATTGATAACAAGAAATTCAAGTTCAGATATATCTTCATTTGAAACTTTCAAAAATCAAAATTTTATTTAAAATCTGATTGATAATTTTTTTTTAAAAAAAGTAGAGCACTAGGAATTGAAGAAGAAGGAGGAGGAGGAGGAGGAGGAGGAGGGGATGGTTCTATTTTGTGATTTTGTTGGAGGGGGAGGTCATGCACTAAAGATTGACGGTGGTTGGTGTCTCGCTGGAGGGAGACGGATGAAGGTTGTGGTCTGATTGGACGGTGGCGATGATTCTATTGTTGGATGGTGACAGCACCATTAGAAGCAACAATAGCGATGGAGGTTGTTGTGCGTCACTGGTGTGCATCGCAATAGTAGTGTGACAGAAAAATATGCTTTTTAATTAGGGAAAAGGGGCAAATAAGCCCTCGAACTAACCAAAAAAGTGCAAATAAGCCCTTTTGTAGGAGGTTCCGTCCGGCCATCGTCATTTGAGGAGGTTCCCGGTGGAATTTTTTGATGAGTTTTTTTGAGCATCTTATTCATTAAGTCTAGTTTACTCATATCGAATTTCAGCTAAAAATTCAATCGGGAAGACAGTCAAATGAATTTTTGAAGATAACTGCGTAGTTAAAC